GGGGGGGGTGTGGGGTGGGGGAAGAGCAGGGTATTTTGCAGCCTCTTGCATTTACCTAGTAGATTGCTTGATTGTCTTTCTTTGTTCTTAGAAGGCTAAAGGGGGATGTTCTTTACAAGCAATTTTTACCTTATGCCGTCATTCACTCAGTTATTCTGAAATTTTTGTAGGGAGAATCACCCCGGAGAGTGTCATGTACAGCTTTGGGACACTGTTGCTTGACCTTCTCAGTGGAAAACATATTCCTCCAAGCCATGTATGTTCTTTGCTGCTAATTTTGAAGACGATATTGTTTTACTTTCTTTGGGACAAGAATGCGTGACATATTAATGTGCTTCATTTGTTCTAGTTTATGTCCGACACATCTTTTATATAAACGAGTAAATCTTTATGATCCAAGCTGGTTTGAGTTTAAAGATATTGTTATTGAAATTTAATGATGACTATATTCGAAAAGCTGTGATTTTCGATTTGTTGTTTTACAGATGATCTTACCCTAGGAAAAACAACAGTAAGATGCAAGGGTGGGCAGGAAAATATTGTTACTCCCTCCGTTTCAATTTATATGACATTTTCCTTATTAAGCGTTCCAAAAAGAACGACATATTTCTATATTTGGAAACAATTTAACTATATACTTTTCATTTTACCCGTTTTTCCCTTAATGAAAAACTTTTATAGCCACACAAATTGAAAGCTCCACAAAACTTTTACCCTTTAAGCTTTTAAGGCCACAAGTTTCGAAAAGTCTTTCTTTGTTATCTCTTTAAACTTCATGCCGAGTCAATCTACATCACATAAATTGAAATGGATGGAGTAATATATATTTACCAATTTTTTTTGTTAATATAAGGGCTCTCTGAGCTCAGATGCAGCACTTCCTAACATAACTCAAGAGATAGAGAAATCCTGGCTGTATTATTCTCCAGAATGCAATGGACATTCAGGAGCTATTTGTACAACAAAGCTGGCAGTTCTGATGTCTAGACTCGAGTAATATTCATGGTTGTCTTCGTTGATTAGGTTCCTAGAAGAGCTATTACTGAAACACCATGGGCATCTTCTTCTTGTTCGTCTTTTCCTATTCCTGCCTCTATCTTGTTCAATCTCAGCACTGATGCTTAGACTGCTAATTAAAAGTTATCCGAACAGTCTGAATCATGTTTAGACACTAATTGTTATCATATAATTTTATAGTTATGTACCTGTAAGAAAATGGAAAAATGAGAATTTCAAGCTTGAAAAAATTGTTTAAACCAGGCATCAAATTCAATTTGGGGTTGGGGGTTGGTTTTCCCGATTGTTGAAGATGATGAGTGGTGCTACAATAACTAAATTTTTGTAAAGCAGGATTGATTTTATCAAGTATAACTGTTATGACAAAGGATATCTGGTTGCTGTAATCATTGATGAGGCACTCTTTAACTTTTATTTATTTTCGGGTGCTCATCCTCTTCTAATGCTCTTATATGTTTGTTTTTTTCAGGCCCTTGATTTGATTAAAGACCGGAATCTTCAGATGTTAACTGATTCTTGCTTGGAAGGCCAATTTTCTTCTGATGATGGAACTGAATTGGTACGGATAGCTTCAAGATGTCTGCAATATGAGCCACGTGAGCGGCCAAATCCAAAGTCACTAGTCGCTGCTTTATTTCCTCTTCAGAAAGAA